TATTGTTGGCCATTACTTGTTTTTGCGAATTGTTTGAGAATTCATTATATTCATTTAAAACTTGTTCATGCGAGTTATGTAAAGGTTCGTTATTACTTGAAGGTTCTTAATAAATAAAATATTAAAACGAATATTTTTTTTAAATGAATAAAAAAAAAAAACTTCACCTCTAAATTATTTAAAGGTATCAATCCAACATTATCTATTAACAATGATAATGCATCTTCTCTTTGTTGATTTGATGGTCGTGCATAAATACGATATGATGATTCACTTCTATGTCCAGTTAAAGACATAGTTGTAACCATTGGCACTCCTTTTTGGAATAAAAATGTAATTGGAGTTGATCGTTCAGAATGATTAATGATATCACGACCATTAATATCAATTCCAACAGCAATACAAATATCTTTCATAAGAGATCTACATGTATTTTCGCCTAATTGAATATCGTAAAACCATGGATCTTGCGCAAGATCTAATAAAAATTAATAAAAAAATAATAAAAAGTAAAAATAAAAATAGATATATATAATTTATTACCTTTTGCTTCTTTATTAATGCGTAAATATAGTGAATCGCAACTTGAGTTCAACAGTCTTTTAGAAAAATAAAATTTAAAATCATGCACGGGCCCTTGATAACCCTCCGTATCAGGTGGTACAGGAATAATTAAGGCATCGGAATTTCCATCGACGCCCCCTTGATCATTTTTTTGAAAATTCTTCGCAAAATGAATACCGCCATTAGGTGTAAAATTAAACTGCTTAATTGAAATTTTATAGTGCTCCCCACCACGGGGTTGGAATAGAAGACAAGACCACATAAAAATTCTGTAAATCAATCCTTGTGAAGTATCAATTGAAACTTTTTCATGCTGAAATATCTTTTTTAGTTCATCATCCGTCAAATGATCATGATGCCGTGAAACAATTCCTTTTTTTTTAATTGTTTCATTTTTCCATTTAATGCCTCCCACAGTTGTGCAAATTCTTGTTGATTTCCTAAATTAAACTTCTTAGTTCCTTGGGGATGCTTTAAAATATATACACTTAGTAACCTAATACAATTAGATAATGATGATGGTGAATATTCCTTTTGTGAACGAAATGGTGCGAAGACTGAAGGCCGAGATGATATTGCTGAATTTGTTCGTTTGCTTAAAACTTGTTTGCGA